CCACCCTTGTTGCCCAATCTGCTATTTCACAAGGCCAACCCAAATTAGCTTCAAATTACTTTAATACAGGACTGTTCCACTTTTTTTGGGAAAAAAAAAAAAAAGCAGCAATATTCATTACTCTGTTTTTGAGGGTGTCATTCAAGAGCTATCACAGCACCTTTCCCTTCAGTGGAAAGACAGCAAAAAGCTCCACCACTATGTCCTCCAGCTCTAAATGCCCTGTTTCTATGTATCCCTTTTTAGTAGAAAGGCTTCTTTCACACAGCATCTGGCTTACAATGCCTTTTTTTTTTTGTATTATTTTTTTGGAGGGAAGGAGTGGGAGGACAATAGAGCCCTTAATGTGCAGTGACATCATTTTTGGCTACAGTCCCACCATCCAGCCTAAAGCAAGCCAGACAGAAGACCTCCACGGGGGCCCTTCTCTGGGAGCTGGTGGGAGCAACGCTACATTTCAGAAGGGACCCACAGGCAAGCATGGAAGGGGTGCCCCAGCCAACAGCACTGCCCTTGCACTGTTAGGACTACAAAAATGGGGCAAAAGAGGGTCTTGCGATCACCATGAAGACAACAACTCGCCCTGCTGGAACATGAGGCCTCAACCCTCCTGCTCTACCAGGCAGGAGCTCAGACGGGATTTGAGCAAAGCGGGATCCAGCAAAGCCAGTTGACCCTGGAGAAACCGATCTGTCCAGATTGTTCAACTGCCACTGACCTGAGAGCAGGCCATGTCCCCAGGCCAGAGTTAAGGGATAGAGAATTTGCTTCACAGCCTAACGGGTAACACACCAGGTAACAGGACAACGGCCAACACTATGAATAGAGTAGCAGGAAACACTCAGAAGTAATGTGCATTTGACCATGTACATAGTGGCAATTTTCATTAGAAGACCAATGGGTATCAACCAAGAGAAGGAGAAGCAGACATGCTGTACAGACCCAGGAAGAGATGGTTCCCAGCCCCAAAACCTCATGACCTGAACCTACAAAAGCTTCTCCCAATTGACACATGGAGATCAAACACATAAAAAGGCCTGCAAGGACAAGATTCCTCCTCCCTACCTTCAAAATCATGATTTTAAAAATGGCCACGCCTGCTCAGTCACAAGGAGGGCAAGCACCTCCAGAGCAAGCTCCATCCCAGCTCTAGACACCCCATCCCTAATGAAGTCATAGAAGCGAAAGATGACGAGCTTGCGTTCAGACATCTAAAAGCTGTTTGCAGAAGAACCCCACCTTGACTGTCTGCCCAACACTGCAGACGTGCAGGACAGGGTGGGAAACTGTTTGAAGTCTCCACAAGCCTCAGGGTAACTCCAGCATTACCTGTTGCATGCAAGCGAGTATCAGCTACACATCTTTGTCAGACTCATCAGACCACGCTTCCACCCAACCAGGATGGCTTCTGAGTAGGTGCACTGGCTTTCCTAAATATCCAATTCAACAACTCACTAGTTTATCAACTAATTTCCCAGTTCACCATCTCCCTCTTGCTCCTCACAAAGCATGATTGCCTCCTCATTCAATTCTTCCCCTCCTCTGATCTGTGAGGTGGCACCTCTAACACAGACACACCTGGAAGCCCATCAGAATCACCACTTCCCTATTCCTCAGTGTCTCCTGTCAATCCTTCTACCCTGTCCTTGCTCTCCTTCCAGTCTCAGGAGCATCACTTCAGGACAGTCCGTCTTTTCCTCCCCACCCTCGGCTCTCTTCACTGTCTCAGAGCAAGGAAGCTTTGGATCCTGGGTCTGTTTCTGGCTTGAACAGGCTCAGAGAACACCTAATTTTTCCAGAGTGACCACTTCAGGCAGCTCCTGTGATGTCCCAAAGCAACAGAAGAGGGCAGAGAGGAGCTGCCAGAAAGAAGCACACAGCATTTGCTGCAAAACCCATGGACACAGTCTGGTCCCAGAGTGGGAGGCATCTGTCATGCATGGAATACTCCTAGTTTCTACACAGATGGGCTCACAAACAGCACACCAACACAGCCAGCTGTGTGACACCTCCACTCATGCAGAGCCAGACCTGCCTGCTGCATCCAGTGTCTAAAGCCCTGGAGTTGCCATCAGCTCAACACAACTGGGAAATACTGGTTGCTGAGGGCATCTCAAACATCCTTTCCATTCTGCAACTCTGCAGCTGCAAAATCCACGTTTTCCTTGCTACAGAGTGAGCACGTGACACGTATCACCTGAAAACAGTGTTTCTTCACCAGGGAGCTGTATTTTACAAAATTTTCAAAGTGCTCCAAGGGCCCTGCAAAGAAAACACTCTCTCAGGCAGATGACACTCCTGCATGGACAAAGTAGCAGAGGTCCAATGTTCCTGTACGGCTCCACAGCAAGAACTTGCACAAAAAGGGCAAGTATCTGGTCCCAGAGCTGCCAGCTTCTTGTGATAACACAGTATTTCTCCCTTAAATGTGTCAGATGTCCAGACCCTTGGGTAACTAAATGAGTAAAACACCTCCTGTTTGACCCCACTGCATAGGACCAAATCATTCCCACAGCAAACTGTGAGCAAGAGGAGAATGGGAGAAGCAGCAACCCCAGAAGAATCATTCGGCTCTGGTCCAGGTAACTCCAGGGCTCAGGAAGTAAGTTTCTAATAAACAAGGCTTGCTAGCGGGTTAAACATATCATCTATACAACACTGCTGCTGTTATTAAGCGTAAGACACTATTTATTACTGTGGAGGACTTTCTGCAGCATCAGAAACTCATCTCTCTTCATGTACTTCAAGACTACTCTGGGAGGAGGAGGGGAAAAAAAAAAAAAAAAGAAAATGAAAGAGAGCATGAGAGCATACAAGGTAAATGAACCATGCAATAAAAATTGTTGAAATTGGCTCAGGCATCTCCTGATAAGATCACAGGAGTTGAGAAAGAACTGCAGCTCCACTGGAGAGAAATCAGACCACTGACAAAACATATCCACTCAGGTTTAAAAAAATACAGTTAAATAGGCTCTTAAACATACAGAACGCTTGCTAAAAATGCCAGTTTTTTAGTTCAGAATACTTTTGTCTTTGTATGATTCTGATCCCAGGATCCAAGACTTGCACTCTTGATATGAAAAAGTCCTCTCTGCAGGCTCACGCAGACCAATACTCAAAATATATGGATCTCACACACTAAAAGCGTGAACCTGGAGGTAAATTTGCCTATGTAGCTGTAAAACCAGTCTAGGCCACACGTCCCTGGACCACCTCATCCCATGAAGTTCAGCTCTGAACTGAAATATCACCTTCAGGGTCCTTAGACCTTTTCAAGCTGCTATTGTCAATTTCACTGCAGGCTCAAACTACTCATCCAGGGGTCTGTAGAGCACCTGGGCAATAACCTCCTGCTTCTGTCACCTGGTGGGAAAGCATGGCTTTCCTCGGGGCAGCCATGTGCAACACCAGCTCTAAGCCCTGCTCCCAGGTTAGTGGCACATCCCTACTGCTGTAGGATGGCTCAGCCAGCAGAGAGGCAGCTGCAAAGCTGCAAAGTGCTTCCAACTCCTTGGGGACCCCAAATCATCCCTCCGTCTGCATGATCCATCCTTGTGTGCAAATCCTAAGCTCACAAGTACCTCAGAGACACAGGTTAACAGAGTTCCTTGAACAGGACCATGTTAGACTGGCTATGGCAGCAGGATACCACTTGGGGAATACTTATTGCCTCTTTTCGACAGCCCTTCTGAAGCTTCATATATTTGTTCACAAAGCAAAGTACTTCATGCTTCAAAAAAAATCACATCAGCCTTTTAGCCTCCTCCCTGCCGTGCCTCGCCACTCAACTGACACCAAATCTGGTGAAGAGGGAAGCCAGGCACCCAACGCCAGCCTCAAAAGTAAATGTCATACATTCTCCAAGGCAGAACTTTCTCTCATCAGCAGCACACAGCTCCTCACTGCTGCCTGCCAAACATCCCAAACTTCTCCCACAGAGCTGAAACCCAACAGCAGCCCCCTCCCTCTCTCTTTTCTCCAAAGCTTTTGTGCTGTGGAGCAAAGCAAATCGTAACAGTGAGCTCTGTGCAGTGACACCATCCCTTGTCCCTTCTGCAGAGCACAGTCGCACACATGGCTCCAGAGAACGACCTCTGCATTCTCTGTTGAGAGCTCTTATGTCCCCCAAGCTAAGGCACTTCCTGGACATAGTACTCTGCAGCCACCACTAGCTTTCTCCACGATGCTGGTGACTGGCATATGATGCACTAGCAAGGGAACAGCCAGCCTCCAAAGGAAAACTTTCCCAATTTTTAACAAAAACCCAGGAAGTAACAAAACTCTCCAAAGAAGTCTTGTGCACTTTGACTCCAGCAAATGCCTTTGGAACAGAGGCTACTTCAGTCTCTGACCTGCTGTCCTGGCACCCAGAAGATGCACGGGCCTTTTTCAAAATCTGGAGTGGCCTCAAACAGCTACACTCAACTATTAGCTAGGGAAGCTGCCTGTACTTACACACCTACCAGAGTGTCCACAGTTTTGAAAAAAGATCAAGCCAGAGTTCACTAGGAGGGTACTCTAACTAGAAATAGGTCACCGGGCGTTAGGATCTGCGGTTTCAGCAACATGTGCTTTGGAGCTCAATGGCAGAAGCTACTCCCTCTTCTGCTGAAGGCAAGCCCATTGCCACAGCCTTATCTCCCTCAGAAGCTGCCCCTCGCCTCCCGCAGGGTTCCTCCACCAGCTGTGCTCCCTGCCAAGCCCAGCTGTGCTCCATCACACCTCCCGTGCCACTTCATCTGCTCTGGAAATGCTCGGCGCTTCCTTTTGTCAGTACTTGTCTGTCAGGTAGACGGTTCTGCCAAGAACCTTAAAGCAGTTGCAAAGCTCTCCTCAGTTGCACATTCAAACCCTATTAAGAAATAGCCAGAAGGTTTTGCCTAATGTAAGAGCGTAAACAAACTTGTTACATGCTAATCACCAGGTAGGCCACACACCCTTCCCCTCCCCCAGTGCCCGAATCTGCTAAAAGGACAGGAAATATAATCATGGTCACATACCTTTGCTTCCTCATTGATGTCCCAAGTGAAGGATATGGCGTTGTACGCAATCTCCTCGATGTTACTGATGGTGTTGAAGCTCTCCTTGTAGTCAGCTGTTAGAAAGAAGGACGCATGAGGAAGAGTCGATACCATCTAGAGTCCTTAATCACACAAAGCAGCCAGAAACTGCAACTCCTCAGCAACCCCTTGGAGGCAAAGGAAGCTGAACTGTATTTAAAAAATGGATCACTAAAAAGGTTGGAAATGGTTCTGGTACAAAATCAAAAGAAAACAAACCCAACAAACAGGAGGAAGGAGAAAAAAGGACTCAGCAGAAATTCCAAGCTAGAAACTCCAGTGAGAAAGGCAGATATCCCAACTATCACATGTCCTGTGCCATAGCCTGCTATGTGCAGGAAACTCTACCCCATACAGCAGGGGCATAAGCTCTCAATAAAACTCCTTCAATAACAAACAAAGATTTGCATGCGCGTCTGCTTTAAGTGCCAAGTGATTAATCCCTGCTTTTATTCACAGAAGGAAGGGATGAGGAGTACAACCCAGCCTTCAGCCAGAGAAGGCTGGAAGCCAGCCAGCCCCAGCGTTGTCTGGAGGCAAGTGGAAATTTGCAGTGTTTTCTTTTTTTACGTGTACCAAAGACCAGTTATGAGAGAAGCTGCGGGAAGGAGGATCATTAGCGTTGAGGTATTTCTACAAGGATCTTGTGCTTTGAAGAAACACAGTATTTAGGACAGCCAGAGTGTATAAGCTGTGATTTAGTTACAAGCACCAGGATCTGCCAAAGCAACTGTAGTTTGGAGGTGGGTGTTAAGATCTTCCAATGCAAAACCCCATACTCAGCCTGCTCATCAACTAAAATCCTCCAAAAATCAGCCTCTTTAAGGAATTATAAAAACTACAACATTAGCTCCACACAACGAAAAGCTCTCTCTGGGCTTTTCAGCAAAGCTGAGGACAGTAGAGAGCATGATCCAAAGGTTCCTTAAAACAACAAAGCTTTAGCAGAAAGCCAAACCTTGCCAAGGAATTAGTTTTGGAGTTTGACATCAGCAATGACAGTGTTCCTTACCTATGTCAATGCATCTTTGTTTGGCTGTGTGCTGTCTTGAGTGCCAGTATTTCCAGTGCCTGAGCTGATCTTCCCTTGTTTTGTCTTCAGCAAACACAACCATGATGACACTCTGAAAGAACAGGGGGAGGAGGTAAGATTTTTTTTAAAAAAAAAAAGAAAGAAACAAAACACAAAAAACCCAAAATGCAAACATGAGAAAGAAAAGGCCAGGGAGTACATTTGTTTTGGAAGTTGTCGTTGGTATCAGGTTTTCCGCTTTAGGCTTTCCAACCTGACGCACGGCAGCACACCTGGACGCCGCTGCCAAACAGGAAGGCAGACAGCGGCGCTTTCTGGGTCATAAACAGAGATGAGCAGAACTGCTCTCCTAACTGGAGTTCAAGGATCTCATTCCAGGTGTTGCATCACCTTTACACAAGTGCTGACACCGCTTCTTAACAGACTGAGCCAGGATGGGTTGGTCTGGAAGTAGGTGGACAGCAAAGGAACGAACACTGACGTAAGAGCGCGAGTAAGCTGGCCTCAGTGCTGATGCTCGGGTTTAGATTACTGCACTTTGCGAGAGTTTAAGACTGATCTTGCACACACCCTCTTTCCCAAGAAACCACAAGAGCCGCCACTCACTCGGACTTTACTGATGGGGTGATGGATTCCTTCACTGCTGCTGACTTCTTTCAGCGTGATTGGGTAAAATTGACCTTTATTCAGGTAAGTCATCGTGCTGTCCCCAGGCTTCTGTCGGAGGGACTTGGAGGCTTCCAGGGTGTACTCAAAGTTATTCCTACAGAGCGAAGAGGGCAGTGATTGCTAAGGCATTTTCCTGGAAAGCCGATTAAATGTTCCACATTTAATTTGGAGAAATTCCAAAGTCGTTAGTTGACTCACTAAGCCATCAACAGGCAAGGAAGTTGGAAAACAGGATGAGCCCCTTTTTCAACCATTTCCTCCATGAATGAACATTTAAGAGAAATTCTTGGCAAGCTAAATCCCAAGACACATCATCAGGCAAGACTGGAAGCTCCCTATTCAGACTGCTCTCATGGAATAGAAAAGTAGTATCTATTAGCAATTAAATTAAATTCACAAGCTAATAAGCCATTCAGCGGCCACGGTCTTCTCCTCTTCCCTCTTGGTCAACTTCAACTAACCAAACAACTAGGTTATTCCCCTCCCTAGGAGTTCAGAAGAGTTTCATGCTTCCTATTTCTGCTGTGGATTTTCAGCAGGGAGAGAAAAAGGGGAGCCAGGGAGAGGGACCCAGCTGGAAGCCAACTCTGAGGCCACTGCAGGGCTGACAGCACTGCATTTTCCCATGGGACAGGCAGTTGGTACAAGGAGAGCAACTGAAACTGGGTGGTATTTCCAACCCTGCAGGTAGTTTTCCTTGAAGCATTTTTCCTTAAAGATACAGGTAGGATTTTCAACTGTGAAATTCAAGAGAGCAGACACTGATGTGGTTTTGAGACCCACAGCCCCCCTGGTGCCCAACAGAGACTTGGCGCAGAAGTACCGCTTGCTGTGGAAACTGTAAGAGAACAGGAGGATACACACAGGGGTCTTAAAGCATTACCCAGAAATGCTGTCAAAAACATAATCTTCTGAATTCATGTTGGCCATCCGGAGATTCAGTTCAGTAGGAAAGAAAACCTGGGGTAGACACAAAACAAAACAACACAACAATTAACAGAGCAGCAACAAGAAAAGTCGAGATGAAACAGATATTCATTACCACAGAACTTCTGGCAGGCAAACTGATCATCAGATAACAACTGATTTTTGGTCTGTACCAACAGGACACTTGAGCAAGGTTTTAATCCAAAACTTTTGGGTGTCAACTAAGTACATCATCTCACAAGCCTTCTGAGTCAGTTAGGTGACATTTTAAAGCTTTCCCAAATCTCAGAGAAAGGGCATAGCTACACAGGTCGTTGAGATCTGGCTTAAAAATCAAAACACGGTTACAATGTTATTTTCAGTTGGTACCATAAAACAAAAACCACGGATTTTCATCCAGGTTTAGGCTTCCACTCAAGGCTCCTAAATAAACCAACTGTTTTCCACTGACACACACCACACCTAGAAACTGGCGGTAAGGAAGCTTAGAGACACACTCACTTCACTTCGGTACCTGCTGAGGCACCGCCGAGTGCTGAACTCTTGCAAAACCTGGCCCGGTGCTGTGGATCAAGATAACTATTTCCACACTCCACAAGCCAAGGGCTCTGTCACTAGTAAGGTTAGTCATTTGCTTTTGATAAATGATTTCATGTTGTGAAGGTTTTATTTACTAAGTTATGCTTATGCACTTTTCTGGGAAAGCCTTCTATTCCTGAATCACTGGACAGATTTCTGGCTCACATAACAAGAACAATCGAAGATGAAACTGGATCTCTCCATCCAGATCACGACACGCACACATGCACACACCGACCGCCTCTCGTGGTACCTCTTGCACGCCCTCCTTGAAAGTCTCTGAGAAGGTGGAGTCTGGTGTTCGCCTCTGGGAGTTCTGAGGCTGGGCGTTGGAACTGAACTGGTCAGGATTGAGGTTCCTGTCGAAGACCACCACCCGCTCGGGGGGCTCAGGGTGGTAGACGCTTGGTGGGATGCCCACTGCAAAGCCATGGGGCTGCGTCTCTGTTTTGATGGAATGCGTGGGCATCGTGGCAATTGAAACAGTGACTGTTGTGTCAGGGGTTGTGAGGTGGCCTCTCTTGTCCATTCCCATCTGGGGTGTGTGTGGAAGGACAATATTGAAAGGTACATTTTTCAGAACCTGGACTCTGTTTTCTCCAGCAGAAATGAGCGACTGTTCTGTCACATTTGGGATGCTGTTCCTTTAAAGGGCAAAGAAAAAAAAATCATGCATAAATTATACAGCTCATTTTCTCATTAAACAAGAGCTACAAATACTTCTCAGCCTTTTGGACAAGGACAGCTGGTACCAACTCTCCTGCTTGTGCAAAACAGCTCAATCCTAACCCGAAAAACGGAGAAACTCATTCAAAAAATCCCTCACTCACTAACAACCCCACCTTGGAGGTGAATTACCCTGGAGCAAAGGGTGAGGGTTCACAGCCCAGATCCTCACTGCTTGGAAAACAGTGGTCCAAACCTAAGCACTTTGATGCCCTTCCCACCAGGCATCTGCACACGCAGGCTCCATAAAACTGCTCTTTGGCAGATGGAGGAGGACCGACAGCAAGGTAGCTGCTCCTCTGCCCTCGGATTGCATGCCACCCGGGAAGCACTAATTACACCCCTCTTTCATGCACAAAACCCAGAGAAAATCCGCACCGAGACTCCCAGGAGAGGTTTGCGCAACTCCCCACTCCCCACCCCACCACACTCATTTCTGCCAGGACAACACTGAGCTCTGTGGCTGAGCTGACCTCATAGCCAGTAGCCACTAAGTCAGCCAGCCCTCCCTTTCTCCCTCCCCACAATGTGGTCCTGCCCTCTCCTTTGCACCAATTCTGATGCTACCCCATCCCCTTGGTGAGCCAGTTCAGCTTGTTCCACTGGCAAAAAACTAGCCACTTTTTTTTTTTTGTCCTGCTAGGTTATGGGTCAGTGGAAGACCAGAGCTGGTACAAGAGGAGCAGTGGTAACACATGGCTGGGAACCAGCCTGCTCTTCTCAACAAGAAGTCGTTCAATAGGCTCAGCCAGACCACAAAATGCCACCTCAAGTCCATCCAAAGGAAGAGGATGGTAGGAGTGGAAGCCTGGCTTGAATGAACCTCACATTTGTAATATTTATTTAATCAGTATCATCTTCTGCTTGGGAGGCACAAGGGGGGGAGGGCAGGAAGAGGAAGAAAGGAAGAAATTCTAGAGGATACTAAAGAACTCCACAAACAATACAAACCAAAAACTAAATCAGAAGCACTTTGAAGTCCTTCCCTATCAGCCCATGCACAAAGAAGCAGTGATGCTGGTGCCCAAGAACAAAATCAGCAGTGAGCAACTGAGGCAACTGCACGCAAAATTAAAAGGGTCACCAGTCACCTCTGCAGCCTGGGGGTGCCTGTGCTACCAGGCTGTGACTACTGTTAAAGAGAGCAGCTTTTGCTACACCAACTGCATGACACCAGCACGCAGAAAGCAGGTGGATGGTGACAAGCAGTTTGGGCCTCAGCTCTCCACATCACGGTCCAATCCCTGTCCTGTGCCTGAGGCAGGACAGGAATTTGGGGCCCACAGTAAAAGCAGACAATTTCTCTCTTCCCACACAACACTGCAGTACAGCGAGTTACTTTCCATCAGCAGCTTTGGTGGTCTAGGAGGGAAGGGAGATAAGCAGACAGACAATAATAAAAACTAATACCTTTTGCTATGATCTTGATCAGGATGTTCTACCTCTGGTTTAGCTGTAGAAGATCTCCTCTCCCTTGGAACCTGGGAAATGCAAGGCATACTATAATTGTAAAAACTAATACCTTTTGCTATGATCTTGATCAGGATGTTCTACCTCTGGTTTAGCTGTAGAAGATCTCCTCTCCCTTGGAACCTGGGAAATGCAAGGCATACTATAATTGCATTCTTCCTCTCGTACAAAAAAAAAAAATCATCTCCTCAAAACATAACCATTTAGGCAAATTAAGAAAGCACTGCTCTCTGATACCAGTCATTATCAGCTTTACAGCCTCACCAATGTTCGCACAGCTTTGGGATGCTAGGCCTGCCCCAGGCCATGTCCTGCAGATCCCCCAGCAGCCGACCCAGCCAACTGTGCCAGCCCTGGCCTCCTGTGAGCATCAGGGGGTGGGAAAACCAGTGCAGAAAATCACCCACCCCTGGCTGGGGCACCAGCACCGAGGTGAGCAGGACCAGGAGGAGAACCCCCACAGTTTGTGCCGGTGGTGCAGGTTTTCATCTCTGCAGGCTGGCAGAGTTCAGCTTGCTGGATGAGCTCAAGGCTCCACAGCCCCTTGACAAAGAACACAGGCTCTCTAGGCTACTTCCTCAAAAACCACCCGAGGCTGTCCTTTCTCCTCAGAGACCAGGGAATTCGGGAAGGACCAGGTCCAGTAAATGTGATGAGATGCTCCCGCTCATTTTTATGCATGGCTATGTACCACACATAGGGCCAAACTGTATTAAATCTTTTATAAAGCAAAGGATTTAAGACAGCTCGATCCTGCTCCTTGTATTTTATGCCACGGAGAGGATTTGCCCTGAAAACATCGCACACAGCAACACCGGTCACACAAACCACCCCGTTCACACGCAGACGTGCGCCATTTTCCTGGCTGTGCTGCAAGGCCAAGGCTTCCAGAAGGTGGTGAACTCTTTGACCTGCAGCAGCTTGGCTCACCAGAGCACACAGCCAGCACCCCAAACGGCTTTCACCACCGCTGGCACAAGCCTGCGGTGCTCAGGTCCCCTGGACTGCGCAGCAAGTCCACGCAAGCTCCTCAGCAAACACACAAACAGTGCCCAGGACTTCTGTCACCCTTCAACACGCCTCCTGAATGAGCAAAGCAAACATTTTGCAGCGTAAGGAGGAGTAAACTCCCACCACCTTCCTTCCCTGAAGCCTGCTCAGACACTGCCCGCGTTTGCCAGCTTGGGTGCAATGCAGGGAACCACTGCTTCACTGCTAACTTGAAGACTGATGGCATACCTCTGTGAACAGCATACTTCTCTAAAGAGCCCCCAAATAAATCCCAAGTCTTGGCTCTTCCACATAACCTGGAATCTCTAATAACACCAGAGTTGTTGGATTTTCCATGGGAACCAGGAAAAATTGAGAACTTGTAGCTGGAGACTGCTAGGAGGCCAACACTAACTAGCCACTGAAAAACAAGGGTCTTCCAAGTTGCACTTGGCCTCTAGTCCAACACTCTTAAACTCTAGCTTTTCGTTAAAAATTTCTTTCCTGTAAGGCCTTATTAGCAACAGTTGAGCTATCAGGGTAGCCCATTAGTCAAATGGAAGAAAACTTGAGTTGTTTGGCTTTTGTTGGGTTCGTTTTTTTAATACCAATGTGATCTCATTGTCTGCCTTTGATATTGCAGAGGGGTTGTATTAGAAATGCCTAGACATTTCTTCATAGCAGCCCTCAATAAATCTTTCAACCTCCAACCACTTTGCTTCACACAAGCGTGGAATACCTGTTCTTCCACTGATTTTTCTGTACGCCCACTGATACCCAAACATAAGAGGAAACCCCGAATTAGACGTTAACATACAGAAAAATCCCTTCTGCTTTGCCAAGTGTGAAGGATCAACATCAATGTTCCTTCTGCAATCTACAGGTTTAGAAATCAAAATTGATTTTGTGGATTAAAATCATTCTGGTGAAAGCATTGGGGCTTTTTTTTTCCCCCCTCAAGAGCATAGCAAGTGCAGGCACAAATCCGAAAGCCAGTTTTCCCACAAAAGTAGCTGAATAACATCCACATCAGCGAGTTCGTGGCATTTTGTCGTGTGTGTGTGTGTAGTGCTAATCTCCATATTAAGCATTACGAGAATATTTTGATATGTAAGACACGCTCAGCTCTTAAAAGGACAGGCAAGGATTTTGTATGCATAAGGCAGCCTCTCCTCATGCTTGAAGAAGATACCGAGGCTGGCAATTGCACTCACTACTGTTAAGAGACACCAGCCAAAATATCAGGCACGTGAGCCAAGTCAGTCTCCTGGCCTCCCTGCAGGCTCAGCACACAAAAAACAGGTATCTCCAAGTAGCGAGCCAGGCCACCATAACACTGGCCTCTAATGCTGAGCAGGACACCTTCCTGCATGGAAATGTCAGTCTCCACTGACTTGGACATGACTGGAGGTAACTACCCTGCTCAGTAAAACGTATCCCACACAAAGCAGAAGGTTATCTGCTTGACTGTGTCCAATTCACCTGTGAGCATCTAAGAAGGTGCCTGTCTCTGAGAAGACAGTGAACACTGAGGAAGACAACCACACTTGCAAGGATTAACAGATTACAGAAGCTGAAGCTCATTGAAGGTCAGAGGGATGCGGGCCCCAGCTCCTTCAGGTGGACAATTCTACCCCCCACACCACCAAAAATCTGCAATTATAGCTTAGTGTCAGCTGAGACTAAGGTAGCACATCAAAGCTCCAGCAGAAGTCAATGATCCCACCAGAACCAGGATCACATGAACAAAAGGAGAGGATTTTCTTTCCCCATGCATATTTATATTCAGATACAGACATACTCTTAAAAGTTTCATTCTTCATGACTATTTCTATAATCCATTGCCTCCTGCCAAACCTGGAATCAACAGCAAAGTGCAACTGAAGCTTCTGACCCATCACCCAATTTTCAGAAAAAGGGACATGGATTTTTTTTTTTTTCCTCGTTTAAAACCCACACAGTTTAAAGCCCTTGTGATCTATTCATAGCTTCTGTAAAATCCTCTAGCCAATGACACCTTTTCCACAGGTGGCACGAGAGCTCAGCTGGCTGCCAGAGCATACCCACAATTTACCTTGTAGTAATCATACAGCAGTCCGAGGGCAGCTGCACTGTCTTCATCACCATTGATGCTCATCATAGCTTTGGTAGCTGCTGTAAGGGGATTTTCAAGAAAAGTTTTCCAGGCCTCATCTTCGCTGGTGTAAGGACGCCTCTGAGAGTAGAGAGAGTCATTCTGAAGAACCAACACGGGTCTTTTACTTGAATCATGAAAAAAGAAAAGAGGAAAGAAAAAAGCCACCTGTTAGAACACACGAAAAACATTCCTAAAGTTCTTCTAAATTAGCTGCCCCAGTTTCAGAGTTCATACTCTGATTCAGTGCACTGCAAGGATTAGTCAACACAAAAAGCCCAGAAACCTAATTCTGATCTCACTCACGCTCAATGTAAATCAGGATTAATTTGACCAAACTCAGCTGGATTACACAAGCCTACATAAAATCGCAAAGCCGTTTAAGAGCACAACTGACCTGCTCATGCTCTGAATCCAATCCAGAAAGAAAAAGTTACAGGCACTTAACTTAGTCTACTCCCCACAAAACCTCTAGCACATCCTAGGTAACACTACCGAGTCACAACCCGCTCCAGTTCCCAAGTGAGACTACAAAATGTGAATTAATAAAATATCTCTTTCCCACTTAGCTTTCAGAAGGTGCCTTCACACCCAAAGCATATCTGAGAACATCACTAGAAGCTGCCAATTAGTTACAGACTACACAGGGAAATTTGTCAGAGGGACCTCGAATCTATTTGGCAGTGATTTTTTCTGACAAGGGAAGCCAAAAGACTTACTGCCTGGTCACTGCTGGAATAATTTGTGACACTAGTTTAAGAAACCCTCAACAGATGACTAGGGGAAAAAAAAAAAAGGGAAAAAACTGAGTTTTTCCCTTGAAATTGTAGTATACAAAAAAAAAAAATTATATTTGCTCTGAACATTTTGAGATTGCTGAGAACAAGCAAGCTCCAAGATTATTTGAACCCACTGCCCATGTGAAAGTGGGAAATCTATAGAAAATGCTGTCCTACCACCTTAGAGAACTTAATATATTTCAGTTCTATGAGTAAAATATATGCTTCATCTTTCAAGCCAGTTCAAGTGAACATTGTTTAAATCTGACTTTTAAACCAGTACAAACAGTTTTCCTTCCAGTACAAACATAACATTGGTTTACTGCAGATTGGTGGGGAGAGAAGTGAGGCTTTTTTATTTTCCTAAATATCCCAAACTTGGCATTTTTTAATGATTTGGTAATAGTTTAAAATAAATAAATATTTTTTTTAAAAGCCCCAAACTCTGCAAAAAGCAGTTCCCTACCACCATCACACCCCTTCCCTGGTGGATAACATTATTTTCATCTATTTACCCAGATGCATTCAGAGACTGAAATATACTACAAATACGAAAAGTTGTGAAATATAAAATTGTGAAATCCTCTAATCACTATAATCAGCTTAACAGTATCCTACATTTATCACCACCTTCTACCAAAAAGATTGCAAAGCACTTTGCAAATTACGTGTTCAATCCTTTATCAGTTACACAAGGAGTCTTCAATGGGACAGTTCTGCTGAGCTGAAGTCACTTAAAACGAGTGGGAGTTTCCAGGACTTGTAAGAGTGCTTTGTGGCTATAAACCAATATTATATAGCTGATAAAAAGCAAACAATAAGAGAAAAAGACAAGCTCCTGCACCAAGCCCTTTCTTTAGGTCTTCGTACGTATTTGTGTACACAGTGATGCAGATACCTTCGGTATCGAGGATATCCACCTTCTATCAAAGGCTGCACAGCAGAACCCAAAGTGGGATTTTTCTTTAGGGAGCTCCTATTCTTGTACAATGCGACAAAAGAAACCTTGAATATCCGTAGCTAACGCATAAATCCTCCAGCCAAAGACACTCGTAATGCAAAAGGCAACTGAAGTAACCTGGGTGCAGTTCACTTGATCCAACCCCACCAAGCTGCAGGGCTAAGTCAGCCTTGCTGGGACTCACAAGACCACTAAGCTGATTCCCTCCAGCATCACAAAGCTCACATGGAAAGAGAGAACCAAGGGAGAGCTAAAAAGACTGAGAACTAAAGCAGCCACTTAACCAGAAGTGTAGCAAATACAAAACCTACATAATTTTTTTTGTGCGATTTCTTTGTCATTGCAACACCTAAACACAACACACATTGCCTACCCCCCTAAAAGCTGCGCAGAAAGGATTATCTGCAGAATTATCAAGAGAAGCGCAGGGTTTGGCAGTAACTCAATCCCTTAACAGAACCACAGCTTCTTTCGGGAAAATGAGAACATATTAATAAGAGAAGACAAACATTTATTTTTCTCCAGTGTAGGGTTTCAAGATTACTGCTAGATGGATCTGCACGCAAAGTAGTAGATGCGTCCAGCAAAGGCTGGAGATAAGTTTCCTGCTGCAATTTCAATAATTTCTGAATTATATTTTCTACGTGACCGAAGCAGAGGAATATTACCAAAAGCAGACACTCTCTCTTTGCCTTTGATGATCCTGCAGCCCGCGACGTTCTGTGTTCAGATCACAGGAATTATTCCTGCTTACTTCACCGATCCAAAAGCCTCCCTTTTCTCTCCCCTCACCGTGCCAATTTAAGTTGAGACGTCAGGAGATGCCCGGCCGCAGGGTGCTTTACGCCTGTTTTTTGGGGCAGAGCACACCTCCAGCGCGGAGGCAGCAGAGAGATCCCTATCGCCGGCTTCTACCTGCCAGAAGAGCCAAGCGCAGGTACCCAAATTGCTATGGCCTCACCTACTAAGTGTCATCGGAGGCAGAAAGCACGTATGGAAAAAGCCTAATCACAGAGTGAAATCAGCGAACTGCTGCGTTAGAATCCTCCTTCTTGAAAGTAGCGCATTAAAAAAAATAAAAACTTGGAAAAAAAGCTATGCTTTCACTAGGAAACGAGTTCGAGTCACCGATCGTTCGAAACGCAGTAATTTTATGGTCGGTTCTTCAAATCGCCTCAGAGTTACCCCGTTTCCTATTGACTCGGGGACAAGCGCAAAGCCCAAGCCGCTAAAGACAGCGAGGGATCCGGCTGGAGAAGCCTCCCCGGCGCTCCACACCGCTAAGTTACAGAAAACAGCAGGTTTTGCTCAATTTCAGCTCTTTTAAACCCCCGGTTTCGGCAGTAGGACGTAGCTGCAGCCCGGCTCGCCGGCAGCCCCCCTCCGTCGGGGGAAGGGGCTGGGAGGGGGGGCCGTGCCGACCCCCTTACCTGCCGAAATCCACCTTTCCGGAGGGGTGCGCCTCGTAGAAGTCCATGGGGCCCTGTGCCGCCGCCGGGCAGCGGCGCTGGGCTCCGGCGGGGCGGGGGGGACGGGACGGGACAGCCCGCCGCTG